AGCCTGGCTGTTCCCTAACAGGTGAGTGCAAAGTTAACAAAGCCCTTGCGGGCACCGCTGGGCTCCACGCTCCTCAAAGACTCTCATCGGTTACAACATTGATAATTTAGCCTTCATCCACCTGACTCTTGCATTTCACTCCAAACTGGAGCAGAGAAAGGGGTGTCATGGCGGAGCCCCTCTGCAGCCAGCAGGGAGCCCGATGCCTTGCACGGGCAGGACCAGCTCTCGCAGGCCAAGGTAACCTGACAAGGATTTACCAACCCCCAAGTCACCTTTCCAGGCTGCAGAATAATGCCAAACCACTCGAGGGCAGTGTCTTGGCTATATCCTCATTCCTCCCCAACTTTTTAAAAATCAGGTTATAAAGGAGCAGGTCGACGAATGTGCTCCCTGCCTTTAATGACCCCTCCAGGTCCTGGCGGTGCTCCCTGGGAGATGGACCCCGGGGATGGTGCTGGCCAATGCTCCCTGCTCAGCGGCGAGGGCTGCCTCTGTCTGATATCTGAGTCATTTTCCTTCAGCGCCTGTCCTTCTCCAGCAACAGCACAACATTCCCCAGCTGCCCCAGCCCACCCCACCCCGCTTTAAAGTGCTAAAGAAACCACGAGAGCAAAGTCCTGAAAACTTACCAATTTTTCCAATGAGATTATTTTGAAGATACAGGATTTTCAAATCCCGGCACCATTTGTCAATATGTTCTAGTCTTTCTATTTCTTGCTGATGCAGGGAAAGCTCCTCCAGGGAAAAAATGACACAGTCATTGTGCTCGGCGTTCCGTCTGATCAGCTCTTCTGTGACTGAAAGAAAACGTGTCGCGTATTATTACATCTCTGGTCTCTGTGTTCATCTTCGGGTTGTTACATTATTAATGCATTGGCTGTCCTCTGCAGTGAATGTCAATTCCCCAGACCCAAGAGCTTTCCAGAAGGAAAGAGATGGGAAGAGTGAGTCCTCCTCCTGGAGTTTTTGAGATGCCATGGTGACTTGGGAGAAAGGGAGTTTCTGTCTAGTTTTTGCAGGGCCAGCACGCATGTTGCTAAATGGGTGGAGCCAGAGTGGACGGGTCATGACCCTAAGACAGTGGACGTGCAACTCCATGGTCCTCCATGGTGTCACCCTGCTGAATGGAGTGGGCACTGTCCAGTAAGCCAACAAGCGCCCCCTGCCACTGAGAAGCCCAGCATTGACAGAGGGCGGAATACCACCGTATCTCTTCATTCATTTATTCAACAGATATTAATTAATTTAAGCTAAAGAGAAAGAAGAGGAAGACCCCAGATATTGCATTGCAACCTTTCAAAACAAATAGCAGTGGTTCCGCTTGCAGGAAGAATTAGACGATCTCTCACAGCAAGAGCAGCCCTGCACGGTCCCTCCTGCCCACAAGCGGGTCGTGGGGCCGTGGGAGGTGGGGGGCTGACAGGCCCACTAGTGGCGATGGCACCAAGGGGCAGTGACGAGGCCCAGCCTGGGCTGCAGCCAAGAACATGGCCACGAACCACCTTCTTTAGATGCACTAAAGGCAACGTGGTAAAGCCAATGGATTTCCCAGTGCTAACAAAACAGGTATGAATTCATTAGAACCCTCCTGTTTTGGGTGCGATGAGAAAACGTTCCACGTCCAACCCAGGTAGCAATAAAGATTGATTTGTTGCCCCTTACAAGGAGATACCTTCCTCGCGGCTTTTCCCGCATTAACACAGGGAGAGGTGTGATCGCTGTCCGCATCAGCGGGAGGGGGTCTGAGGCACAGGAACAGGATACATGCCCAAGGCGGGGACAGAAGTGCCACAGCCGTACCCCTGAGCCACACCCACTTGATTTGCCCAGCTCTAAAGAGACCTGGGGTTCCTCCGACTGCTGACAAAGCTCTTACTGGCACCAGCCATCTCTGTCCCCTAGTGACACCTTTCTTAAAGTCTAGTAAACTCCTTTCATTATGCTACCATGGGCACATTTGATCATGTGCATGCAGTTGTCGAATCGCCCCCTTCAGAAACATAGATATTAGGAAAGAACCATGCGGACCCAGATCTCCTAGCCACTGGAATCCACACACTAAAGCCATTAAAGTTCGGGATGGGCGAGGGGAACCGGGCGAGGGGACCTCCCTGAGCATAGGCAACTAAAGAGGGCACACGTGTTACATGAACACATACACACACGGGACAGAGATGCTGCACACAGGAAGTTTGCCCACAAGCCACAATTATACACAATTAGGACAGATTAAAATGCAATGGAGAATCACACAGGAAGGTAGAGCTGTGTGGGCCTGGAATTTCCCAGCGGCCTTCTTGTGAACTCCTGAATTAAGCCAACTGCCGTGTGGCCTACCGTTTTATAGCACTCAGGAAATGGCTGTTGCACGATTTGGCCTCACCTGCGATAGCAACGTCCGTGCAAAAGCCAGAGTCCCCGGGAAGAAATGGGTGAGAATTTCCACGTGGTGTATTGGGGTCATAGTGTTGCGCACTTTTAAACAGGAACCCATCTGCAGTTTTATGCACTACATAATTTAGTCCAAACATTCTTTAACTCAGGGAGCACTGTTCTCCATTTGAAAGTCCTATTATAAATAAAGCAGCACTTCATTTAGAGGAACTCATACTAAGGATTTTAAAATGCCTTGAAAGCATGAACATGTCATCATGCCATTATTTCAAGAGACTTGTTGTTCCCATGCCTAACATTTGATACAGAAAAACATTCTGAGGTATTGTAAAAGATACTGCTTTCTCTTCCTTACTTTGGAAAAATTCAAATGCCAGAATTAGCCATTCAGAGGGAATCTGAGCAGTGGCTTTTCCAGAGGGCGCTAATCAGTGTCTGCATGCCCGGGTTTGGGGTGGGTGGTGGGGCAATTTAAAATTTTGACAATTTTAACCACAGATTCATCCTGGTCTCACTAACAGAATGCAGAATGCTCCTGAGGAATCTAAAGGTTTAACTGAAATCAATTAGCCACACTAGACTTGTTTTCAGTTCCTGAGTTTGTGTGCTCAGTAACTTGAGAGAGTGTCAATAACGTGACTTTGTGGGGTAGGGCAGGAGGAAAAAGCTTCTGGAATGTTGAAGGTTACTGAGCTGTGTTTGCTTCTCCAGAGCTTTTCACTGTTTTAAGCAAGGTTCTAGAAACTCTCAAAGCCAATAACTCTTCAAGTTTTATATCATGCCTTGTGAACAACTCTTTCTTGCTGTATTAGAAGTAAATCAATCCATGTTTGTAGCAGATTTTGCAGAATTTCCAAATCTCTTGGAAGAACGAGCAGATACATGTGTGAAATCGATATATACAAATAGATGGATTACAAACAGGTGACATCACTGATTCTTGTAGCCTCTAAAGCCTAGTTTTCCTTTACTGTCATCAAAAGAAGTTGCGTAAGACAGGAGTATCATTTGTCCTGCTTCTTCTGACAGATTCAGGATCACCATTGTGAGCTTTGTGGCCATGCGGGTCAAGTCAGTCCTCACCTAAGCCAGTACCATAGAGGGGCTCTTCCTGTGTTATTAAACATCTCCGGGAGGAGCTCCCAGAGAGGTACAACAGGTGCAGAGAGAGAGTGATTGGTGCCCTGGAGCGATGAAAGGGAAGTCAAAGGAGGAATCACAGAGACACCTGAGCTGAAGCTTGCAAGGTACAGTTATTTGCCTGATAAACAAATGAACAAAGCATACCCTGGCTACAGTGAATGCTGTAATGAGCTGCCTAGTTCCTCTGCCACCGCAGGATTTAATTTTTTTACTTATTTTTATTTTTGATTTTACATCATTGTTCATTTCTAAATGTTTGCTTCCACCGCCCCCAGGTGTAGACCCAATAGAATTTCTTCCCTAATTCACCCTGCACCATCCCCAGAGACACCTGTGCTCCCCCTCCTTCCTTGATCTCCCCCTCTCCCCTCTCCCCTGCAGGGATGCTACAAGAATCAGTGATGTCACCTGTTTGCACCATTTAAAGCTGACACGTTTGTGGTGATTTGTTATGGCAGTAATCACAAATTAAAACATAAGCTTCAAAGCCTTCTCTACTCATTTGAATATCTCTGTCATCTTTGCTAACTGATTGTGTTCTTGACCATGGCCCCACTTTTATGTTTTCCCTATGAGCGATTTTTTTTTAAAGATTTATTTATTCTTAGTGCAGTGCTTTAACCCACTGCGCCACCAGGGAGGGCCCCCTATGAGCAATTTTTAATTGTAGTCTGATGTAACTGTTCCACTGAAGCACTGTTGAAAGTCTAGGCTACTCTGTCAGGCAGTTAAAGTACCTTGTTCAGTTTGATTTTATTTTTTGTTAAAAAGAATATGCTAGCATTGAACTTAGTCCTAGAGCATGATCATTATTCTCGGGCCAGAACTTAGCCTTTTTTTTGTTTTGTTTTGTAATTTTATTGGATACTCAGTGGTTAGTTCTCATCTACATTGACTGTGGGTTTTTGAAAGCTGTTGAAAGCTGTGACAAGCACATAGAAAACCAATGTGTACAGCCTGTGTGAGGAGCCTTCATCCTCATTATGTTTCCTGGACAGCCATACACCGATATGTTGGGGCCGTTCCTATTCCTTTGGCCCAGACAGCTTTGCTGGGCCCGGTGTCAATGCGCACATCTGGAGCGCTCATTTCCTTCACTGCAAATTCCGAGTCTCTTTTCATGCTCGAGGGACACGCTTCTTGGAGCCAACTCTGTGGATGCACTTGTGAGCACTGATGGTATATTCCCTGTACCTTGTTGACGGTTTTCCTGATGGTGTCAACTGAATACCCATTGGGTTCAACCAGGTGTTAACTCTGAATGGGCCAGGCCTCCAACATCTCCCAGCCCTGCATGACCTCCAGGTGTCCTCCTGACACCAGCTCAGCAGGTGATGTCTGCTACTTCTCTCAGTCTCTTGCTTGTGCACAGCCAAGCTTTGTCTACATACCTGAGGACATTATCCTATGAAGTCTTCGTTTCCCTGTTCCAGGCTAACTTTCTATATTCGGTCCCATAAACGACAGCAACTTCAGCAGCTCAGAATTCTGACTTCTGCTTCCTCAGCTTAAGAGGACCAACCCTTGAATTGACTGAATTCCATCTCCAGCAAAAAAAAAAAAAAAAAAAAAAAAGCACCTGTTGTGCCAGCAAGGCCCAGGGAAGGTTCTCTGTGGAGCCAGGCAGACAGGTAAAGGAGAGCCCTGGAGTCCCCAGCGGCTTTTCAGGCTTTTAGTGACCTTTTCAGACCACTTACCATGAGGCAACCAGGTGCAGGGTGGGCAGAGGCCTTGGGGACTGGGAGGCTGACAGGCCTCCAGCACCCAGCAGAACCGTACTCTCTTGGGCTCGCTCTGACACCTGTGCTCTCCTGGGCTTTCTGCCACCATTCTGTTCTCTGTCACTGCCCTCACAGCCTGTTTCTCAGCTCAGGCATGCCCACTCACATCACGCTCCAGGTGTTACCATTACACATACGTACCCGGCCCAGGCCCCCAAGCGCCTCCTGCATTCAAGGCTGGAGGTGACAGCCAGAGGGGCAGCGAGACAGAAGCCTGAGCGTCTTCATTTGCCCCACACACCTCTGACAGAAAGCTGCAGTGATCATGAGGTAGACCTTTTGCATTTTCCTAGCGTCATATTCCTGAGCACAGTCCCATTCATGAAAACAGATGCCTTTACATGCGGTCCGATATATCGCCTAGTCATCTTACACAGAGATGTAAGTCCAGAACGGCTGGAGAAAGAAGCACTAAAGTGTATCATTTCTATTGCCTAACACCTCACCAGGTTTTTCCAATGATCTGTCTCAAGTGAGTTTCTGCTGTGCTTATTTGAGACAGTTGCAGGTCTTGCAGAAAGCACTCAGTAGGTTTATAGTAAACTCTTAAACAAAGACTGAATAGTTAAGAATTATGCAGAAAATGTTTCAAATTGTAAATTTAAAGTACAGTGAGCGATTTCACTATGATCACTCATAAGCGAATTGTCAAAATATTTTAATTTGCTCAAGACTATGAGTATTTGCCTAACCATTATTAATCACAGAAAGGAAATAACTGTTCCAGTAGTGAAGCTATAGTTAAATGAAGTCACCTACATGACAAAAATCAGAAGTTAAACATATCAATGCAATTTCAGATTGAAACCGCCTTCCTTGAAAAACAAAACAAAAATTTCTCTATGTACCCATAATTAATTGGTTTGTTTATTTCTTAAACTTGATGCATATGCTGGATATGTAAACTGAAACAATTTATTTAAAGGATGCTTTTCCTGGATGTTCACTTTTCATTAATAAAGCTTTTCCTTTTAAAGCTATTTATAAAAAGCATTTAGCTAGTGTTTGTGGGTGTATAACTAAACAAGGCACTTGATAGCTGGCACATGGTATCTACCTCAAAGAGCTTGAAATTGAAGATGAACAATAATGTCTCACAACTAAATGAGGGTTTAAAAGAATAAAGCAAAGGATTTAAAGGTTTCGATGATGATATTTACAATACAATATGCAACATAATGACCCTATTGGAAGTTCTGTGTTGTAAGTAAATGGAAAGCACTTCCCGTAAAAAGAACTTTTCTCTCCTGTAAAAAGAACTTTTCTCTCCTATAAAACGGGAGGACAAAAGCCAGTCAGCTGCAGCCTCCTGTGGTTTAACTCTGACCCAACACAAAATAAGTGCAAGATGTGGGGTTAGATGCTCAAACATTCTGCACAGCAGAAGCCTCATCGGCACAGCTTGATAGGCTGGAGACCTTCGAGCATCCTCCCTCCCAACAGTAACATCTTGTGGGGCTGTGGTTAAATGCACTTTGGAGCCACACAGGCCACATCTCTGTGAGACTAATCACCCTAATTTGATAGGCAAAGTAATACAAAATAAGCTCAGTAATAGGAAATTTTTCAAAAGCCAGGTCTTCTCTAAAGCAGAATCTACACCAGATTCAATGCACAGAAAAGAACTCATTTTCCATTTCCCATTCCCCTGGTTACTGTCCTCAGGCTCGACACTGCTCCTAGGCAGACATTACTATTTAAAGTAGTCTCTTTGGATTTAAATATGAGAATTTGTGACACGGCATCTCTTACTCATCAGACCTTCCCTGACTCCCAGGAGACAGTGGAGCTAAACATCCAGGAACGCCGTCAATGCTTACGCTCCAAGCCAGGCGCACCACTTACTGGGTGGCCCTGGGTGAGCTGCTTAACCTCGCTGTGCTTTATGCTCCTTATCTGCAAACCAGTGTCTACCTGCCAAGATTGTTGTGAGGATTCAAGGAGTTAACACACAGAAACCACTGGGAACACTGCCTAGACGCCAGTAAACACGGGAGAATTGTGAGCTACTGGCACCCTGGGCCAGCAGCCCAACTTTCTTCTTCAGATGTCAGGTGTGCAGAACTGTGGAAAGAGCGAAAGCTGAGAATAGTGTTATCTCTTCTTCACTATGGTGATGGGTAATTTCTAAGTGAGAGGTTGGTGCACCCTATCCTTTCATCCACCCTTGATTTCCTGACGCAGGGTGGAACACCAAGTCTCATAGGCTATTATGTAATAAATGAAAGTGGACAGCCATCAGGACAGGCACGGGTAACCAACAGGAGGTAAAATATGTTGATGAACAGCAAACATCAGGGGCGGGACCACCGGTGGGCACAGGGAGAGGAAATAACTGATTTAGGAATGGGCCTTTAACATTTATAAACCATCTGCCCTCCGCTGCCCAGGCTGTCGGCTCTTCCAGGGCAGAAAGCCCCGTCTGTCTCTTGATTCAAAGTCGGAAGTGTGACACTTTTACAATCAGAGATCAATTAGGCTGAACTATACCGAAGAGCCATTTGGAAAGGTCAGAAACACTGGTAGCGACAAGGTTCCGCCTCATCCAAATACCCGTTCACCCCAACCCTCTCCAGCCGCTCGGCAAGCTTGAAAGCACAGCAGCCCATAATACTGTTGGTCGCCTTCGTTTGGAGAAGAGCGAGCAGGCGCCCACAGAGGAAAGCACTGCTCAAAATCTCCTGGCCGGTGCCGAGCGAAGGCTCTGGAGCAGCTCCGGAGACTCCCACTGCAAGGAGACGCGCCCCGCGCGGACGGTGTGTGGGACGCCCGCCCCGGGCCTGCCACCGCCCCGCTCGGAGGGGAGGAGCCGGGTCTGAGGCAGGCGGCGACCTAGTGCTTGGGGTGCAGAGGGCAAAGGGGCGGCTGCGGTCTGGGGGGGGCCCAGGGCCCCAGGGAACCCCGGAGGCCCCCAGGACCGGGGCGCGCAACGGCGCACGCGACTAGGGGCGCTTACTCCGGCCCATGACGACTCTGGGCTTCTCAGGCCTGGGCAATAGGTCCCCACTCCTCGGCTCCCTCGGCTCTTCCGGTCACACCTTCGCGCGTCCTCCGGGGCACTTGGGAGCCATGGTAACCGGGACTCTACGGCGGCCGTGCTGGGCCAGGCGCCGCCGCGATTTCCGCGCTCTGGCTGATCCGCGGGGAGACCCCACAGGGCGACTGTCTCCAACCCAACCTAGTCTCCTTCCACGTCAACTTCCAGTGGAAACAGAAACCACGGGACTCTGATTTCCTGATTGAACTACCTCTAGCGTGCCTCCTAGTTGGCCCTCATCTCCCACCCCTGCTCCTTTGTATTTTATTTTTAAAGAGTTATTTATTTGTGCATACAGAACTGGGGTACAGGCCAGAGGTGCAGGGGCGGTGAGGGGCTTCACTAGAGACAGGGCGGGGAGCAGAACAGGCAGAATAAAGGAGTACACTGCTGTGGAAGCCGGGGCAGGTCAGGGGAGGTCTGAGCGCCAGGCGGCCACCTCCTGGGCAGGGATCGAACTCACCCTGAAGTGGCTTTAGCTTCTCAGTGCTGCGCTCTAACCCGCTGCGCCCCCAGGGAGGGCCTCCTTTGTATTTTATATAACACCTTCCCAGGCCAGGAGAGCCGCATTTGGCACTTTCAGGGCATCTACTGGCTGAGTGACCTTAGCTTCCTTAGCTTCAGTTTCCACCTCTGTCAGATGAGTAATAATAATAACTTCAAGAGAGCCTTGTGAAGCTTTAATGAGATAATTTGAGTGAATAAGAGACACTTTTTAAAAACAGTAGGTTCGGTTATAAAGGTTAGTTGTCACTGTTAGATTTCATCTATTTAAAGCCATCACCCACCACCAGTCAATTTCCTGCTAACAAGTCTTCTAAAATCACAACCCATTATTCCCTCCATCCACTTTTCCTACCCACTACTTTCTTAATTGTGAAGTAGAGGAAGCGTGGAACCTCCTACAACTCCTAGTCCTCCCTGCCCGTTTCCCCAGGCACCTCCACTCTCTCCAAAAGTGTCCCAGATGCTCGACCCCAATTCTAGATTCGGAAGGGTATCAGTAAGCACCTTCATCCTCAGATGCGCGGATGCTCCTCTGTAATGTATGTGTCTTCCGGAGTTGTCACCTGCGTGTGTGTATGTGTTGACACCATAACCCACTACAACAGCCCCTCCCGCCACCACCAGTCTGTCCTCTGTATCTCTGAACTCGGTGTTGCTTACACCCCGCATCAAGTGAGATCATACAGTACTGGTCTTTCCCTGTCTGACTTATCTTACTTAACATAATGCCCTGAGTTCCAATTCTCCCGTGTTTACTGGCGTCATAGATGGCAGGGTGTTCTTTGTGGCTGAATAATATTCCATTGTTTTTATACACATTTTCTGTATGGATCCAATGATGAACACTTAGTTTCTGTGTCTTAGCTGTTGTGAATAATGATGAAGTAAACATGGGGTGGGGGGTGGTTATATCCTCTTGGGGTAGAGATATTTTTCCCTTTCAGATCAAAACCCAGAAGCGGAATTGATGGGCCATCGGGTAGTTCTTTTTTAATTTTGTGAGGAACCTGCATACTATATCTACAGGGTCTGCAACAAACCACATTCCCACCAGCAATCCACAAGGGCTACCTTCCCGCCACACCCTCTGACTCGTTACTTCTTGTCTTGGTGATAATTGTTATTCTTACGGGCATGAGTTCATATCTCCTTGTGGTTTTGACTGGCCCAGGCCTGATGTGATGTTGAATACTTTCTTATGTGCCTCCTGGCCATCCATAGATCTTCTTTAGAAAAATGTCTAGTCAGACCTACTACCCGTTTTTAAATTACATATTTTTCTTTGGAGTTATACAAGTTCTTAGCACATTTTTGATCCTTGTTCTGCAAGTATTTCCCCCATTCTTCAGGTGGCTTTTTCATCTTGCTGTTGGTTTCCTTCGCTGGGCTGAAACCATTTAGCATGAAATAGTCTTATGTGTTTGATTTTCTTTTTATTGCTTTTGCTTTTGGGTTAAATCCAAAAACTTTCCTGACTGATGTCAAGAAGTTTACCTCTATTTTATCTTCTAGGATTCTGCATTTTTACATTTAATTTGTTTACAAAAGTAAACCCTCTACAATATTTGCGCTCAACAACATTTGTAAAAAGAAAAAAAGTATGTAAAAGATTTTAAAAACTCCTCCCACCCCAGTCCTAGTGAACAGCACGGACTACATGCTAATTAATTTTTTATGTGTTTTGTCCACATTTTCAAAAAAAAAAATCATAGGTCAGTGTTGAGAGCAGAGAAAAGTATTCTTTTAGCAGATAGCTATTAATCATTTACTATTGCGATTATTAGATTTAGTCATCTAGAGACAAGAGCATGATCTGAGGCTGAGAGACAGGAAAGACAGAGGGAATGAAAGGCTGGATATGTTAATCAATTTAGCAACTGAAACATCTGCACGCAAAGGCACTTACAGAGAAGCCCGAGATACTGGCCTGGAGGTACCAGAAGCCCCCAACGCCAGGCCAAAGGTGCTGAGCTGGGGCGGTGGGACTTCAGCCACTGCGTTCCCCAGGGAAGAGATATTTGTCATTCCAAGGAGATTCCCAAAGACACATAAACTAGAAATGCAGGGACATCCATGCCGCTCCCCAAAAGCGTGGCTCTCATGTCACGGTGGCAAACTGCAAAGTGTGGGATGGAGAAGATGAGCGGGTATGGAGACCTGGCTCCGAGCCACAGATTTGTAACCAGGTGACACTAGAAGGGTGACTGCACCTGCCGGAGCAGAGCAGCCCATTTGCACATGTGGAGCTCAGTACGGGAGTCACTGCAGGGCTGTGCCCGTGTCAGGCTGCACAGTGGGACGGGACTCGCAGTGAACAGCAGGCTGGTTTAGCAAACGCACCTTTGTTTGAACTGTGTGTTTTGACAGTTGGGGTTCACTGAGACTGAAAAGGAGCTGGCTTCTGGCAGGGAGCTGGGGCCACAGGGTATCCCAGGTAGAAAGTTTAGTTTTGGGGCTGACAGAGGCATGAAGTCAGGCTCAGAATAAAAGATCTCAGCTTGTACATGAGAAAATACAAGGAGACAACCTCAGACTAAAAGTTCTCAAGAGCAAAGCCAGCCTGATGTCTGACATGTTCACTCTGATCTTCTATCCTCACCTTAGACAAACTCACTTTTGAACTCTCAACCTCACTTCTGAATTCTCTCGTTGTCAAAGTGGGCTTGAATCTTCCCTGTGAAGCTTAATTTCTGTAGAACTGGAGTATTGTACTTATGCATGCTGAAGTGAACCAACAAAGAAGTTGTCATTTTATTGGCTAAAAATCTCTATCGTGTTTTCACGCATTGTGCTCTCAACACTGCCTTTGTTGAAAGAGCATTTCTGACATCAACAATTGGAGGCTGGCAATGCTGCCATTGCATATCACAAAGAAGTTAACTGAGGGTTGGCGAGTATACTTTATGAGGGCATATTGGATCCAGAACTCTGTGCCCAAATCCTACACTCCGTACCGCATCATGTTCTAGACTAAAAGCTACTTGAAGGCAGGGAGGGGAGGGGATGTGTATTATCTCTGAATTCTGGCTTTTAGAAGAATTCCTGACATACCCGGGATGCCCCAAATTATCTGTTGAATGACTGAATAATGACGGAGTGAGCCAGTCTCTCCAAGGGTTGTGCTGTCCAGGATGTCAGGACACATCCCATGACTCAGTCATGGTCATCACAGATGGACGTGTCCTAGGTTAAGGGGACCGAGCAGGTTTCCCAGGAAAAGTGTCCCATCTCCTGGTCATTGTCACTGTGTTAACTTTGGACCAAAATCTAGAGTACACCTGTCAAGAGAAGGGCCTTCACATAATTGTTCTACCATTACAATAGAAGAGAGAAGAACCTTGGGTGGGTGATATATCAGGGAAACCACAAATATCTTTATATAATAAGTGACCAGGATGGTCTGGTTTCCAATGTCTTTCCTCACCCCAACATCATGGTCTCTGTGTTTCCTAGAGCCCCCAGGAGGCACGAAGGACAGGTCTACAATGAGCTGGGGTTATTATAGGCCACCCGCAGAAGGCAAATTGAGAAATAAATCACAACATGACAGCTCCAAGTAAAGTCAAGTTCACTTCACTCAAACTGAATGTGATCATTTAAAGAGTCTTGATGTGTATCTGTTTATGCAAATCATTATTCAAAATAGACTCCTTTCTCTGGCGCTTAGAAATAAGCAGGAGGAGTGTGGCTTCCTGAGGAACTACCCCAACGTTGTGTGTATTGAAGTGGAAGTAAATCTTAGAGCGAGCTTCTTCTAAATTCCAGTAACGGCAAACTAGTTCTGACTTTTTTGCTCTAGATTAATTCCAGGAATGTTGACCTAGGAAACTATGCTTCTGATGTGTAACTAATACTCTAGTTTCGGTTCCAGTGCACCTTGCATTAATTTTCTTGCAGAAGAGGTTTCCTCACTGCAACTTTATGGCAAGTAAACAAACTCTCCAAGTTTACTAGCATCAGTATCATTTCAATTCCTTCCTCCCTCTTTTCATCCCACTAGCAAATATCTATCACGTGCTGTACGTATACCAAGCACTGCAAGGAATATGAGACAATATTTGTGAAACTCTTGGAAGAGGCCCTCCCTTGTGGCACAACAGGTTAGGACATAGCACTGCAAGCTAGCTGCAGCCTGGCCCTGGAGGTGACCTCATGGCGTGGCAGACCTCTCCTGTCTCGCCCGCTGCTCCCCTCAGCAATGGACTTTTTCGATCTGCCTGTTCTGCTCCCCACTGTCTCTGGTGAAGCCTCTCGCCGCCCCTGAGCCTCTGGCTTGTACTCCAGTTCTCTATGAATAAATAAATAAATCTTACCAAACAAAAAACCTTGGAAGAGAATTGCCATGAGTGAAGCACTCAGTCTCAGTCAGCTATTTCTATTTTGAAAATACAATAATCGCCATGGCTGGGGACCCTAAACTCTCAGTATAGCAGGCTCCTGAATAATGTCATTGTATTTATGTGTCACATAGCATTTTGCTTAAAATCACAGTTCCCAAAAACCTGTTGAGAACTTCTGTAC